CCAGCATTATCTTATCATTGATGTCTTCATGTCACTCTTACGACTGGTATATTTTTAGTGAGGGAGTATTACTTCTGACTTGCTCAAGGTAGATTTCTGTGTGTTCGTTTTTTAAGTTGATTTAATTGCCATTGTGCAAGTCAGACTGAAAACTGATTTAAGATGATAGCCTAACTTTAGTAAAAGTTTGCCAGGGTAACCTGCATTGTATTTTCAATCAGAATGAGTGGAAATGTTAAAACCTTTATAGCAGAGTCTTTGTGAAACATAATTGTGCAGGGTATGATAGGACAGCAATTGCTGTCAGACCTGCTTTTCTATTTTATCTTTTCTGTACTTTTAAAACAAAAAAAACCAAAACGTACATCGTGTGCAGGCAGTCTTCACCAAGGCTTAAAATGAGTAATGTCTGAACTTTTGTGAATTGTAAATAGGTAAGTTGTATGCAGTGTACATGTTTGTAAAACTAAAAGATAAAACCATGGAGCTACAAGCCTGCTATTTCAGACTAGATCAGGGAGTGGCTCTGCTAGTGCTATTGCCAGTGTTATTTATGATATTTTTTACTTACTTAAGGCTTGTATTTTACTGAGTCAATGGCTTTCTGCTTTTTCAAGCTGGAAGCGCTGAAGTCTCTGCAGAGTAGAAACAGTGTTGGGATAAATAATCTAGTCTATGACTTTACAACTGTCTGTTAAGCTGTTCCAAGTCCATGCTGCCAACAAGAATTGTGCTCCTGAAAATGTGTTCCTGCTTTCTCCCTTGTACTGGTGTTTGTATAGACAGTCAGATCTGGGAATTAAATCAGCTGAATTTTTTTTTTTCTGATTCCGTTTCCAGCTGCACTGGTTTGCAGGCTTGACTTGACTGTGTAGCCATGAGTCCTAATGTCAGCATTGGGGATGAAGAAGGAATACCAGGTGCTTTTGCAAGTAATGGGACTTGTTATTTCAGCAGCAACACAGACTTAAACTGGCTTATGTCACAGTTTAAAAAAACAAAATAAAAACAAAAGAAGAAAAAAAGATCCCCAGTCAAATTCTCTTTTACATCTTACGCTCCGTAGTGGGATGGAACTCTGGAAACTTTTTTTTTTTAACTGAAGAGACTATAAATTATTAAATGCTACCAATACTTCAAATACTGGGATATACTTCAAATACTGTCAGTATGCTGTAATAATTGCCATGTTTTTCTAAGTCACTTCTATTTTGTTTTCATTCATTGAAATTGTGCTCACTGAAGTGCATGTGATTCAGGCATGGAAGGGTGGAAAGAAGGCTAGTTAAAGGAAAAAATAGTGAGTGAGGTGCATTGCTTAATACTGATAGTGATCACTTGGTATGTGTCTGATCAGAAACTGTTTATATGGTAGTCAGGTTTTTTGTTCTTTTTTTTTTTTGAGTAAATTGAATGTATAAATGCTCAATTTATACATCTACTTACACGGTACTTAACACATATATTTTCAAAAATGCTGATTTTATTACTAAGTTGTGGAAGAAGGTCTAAGGAAGCAGTTTGAGAAGGTTAGAAACAATCTGATAGCTTGATGCCACCAAATGGATAGGTCATTCTCTGTGTTCCTCCTTCATCAGCTAGCACTTGATCTGACCTCTTGGTGGGCTGATTCAGTACCCTAAGCTGTCAGAAAAATCAATCGCTTTTTGCTGATGGATTAGCCTCCTGCAAGCTTGGTGCACTGAATGAGCCCATGGGGTCAGCATGAGGGGCAGAAGTGGTGGGAGGGGAAGCTGGGCTTCTGTGCTCGTGGTCTGTTAGCTTGATTTTTCAAAACACATTCTTGTTTCTTTTTGGTGAAGTTTGGAAACTGTTGTGGAAAAGGCTTGTCCTGCTTTCCCTCTGGGTGGATTCCCAGCCTCCCCAGCAGTGATCTGATCTGGAGATCGTGTGCTTCAGGGGCAAGAGAGGCAAAAGCTGTTATTTTTCTGTTGGATCAATTGCTAAATTCAGTAGCAGAGAGATTGAAGGAATGTGAAGTGAGCAGAATTACACCCTGAATAAATCTGACTGCAGATTTTATGTGTAATGTGAGGCTGCACCTTTCTTTGGGAAAGCAAGTGGAAATACACAAGTTTATAGGGATTTAGGATTTTAAAAATACTAATTATTTTTACTATCTTATATTGTTAAGTAGCTGAAATCTGTAACTTGTATTCCTGTGAGGAAAAAGCCTGATCTCTAAAGTGCAAAGAACACATGGTCCTCACTTATATACCTTACAGCTGCTTCTGTCCATGGAAACATTTCTGTCTGCTGCCCCCAAAAGAATCCTGCTGTTGTGACATTCCCTGCTTATGGAGTAGATGGCTGTAATGCATCATTATGAATGTGCTTTGAGGTGTTAAAAATATCCCCGCAGTATTAAACATTCTTTTTACTATGCTTAAAGTATGGAAAGAATAATTTGGAAACCACAAGCCTGGATTTCAGGGCTTCCACCTGAATTCCAGTAATGCCTGATGAAGGGGAAGAACTGTTGGTAAAGATCAAGGGATCTGGTGTTTCTTAAAAGCTACACTTCACAAATTCAAGGTTAGAAAAAAGTAGTTATTTAATAGGGAACACCAGTCTTGATCTACTTACCAGCAGTGTTTGAATATAAGTAGGATAAAGAAGGTTATTTCTTCTTCTCTCTTCTTCCACATGTCATGACAGAAGCCTACTTTGGCATTTTTAAAAAACTTAAAATTCACAAAGCGGAAGAGCAAAAAGTAGAAAAAGAAAACGTATTAAGAACAACAAAACCAGATAGTAGCAACTCTCCAATTTAAATGAGCTGTGGGAGTGGATTGTGTGAACCCTCAATGAGTGTCGGTATAATGGGGCGTAAAGAGTAGGTTTGGAGTGCTGCAGGCTCCTGGTGTTTGAAATTTTGGGTAGGGAGGATTACCTGGGGGTTGAAGTGGGGAGGGTAGCAACTTCGAAATATTAGGGGTTATTACCAGTCTTGGTAATACCCGGAGCAGGTGAGGTGCAATGAATTCCTTTGAGGCTGGAAGTAATAAAGAAGTTGCAAAATCTTGTAAATTGTGGTGGATTGAAGAAACCTTTAGGTTTTGAAGAAGGATGATCTGGAAACAAAATGTGGATGTTTAAAAACTGGAAAATGTTGTAAAGTCCAAAGGAGCTAGATGAAATTACACCAGCTGTTTAACTTTGATTTAGATATACAATTGTCTTAAGGTTTTTTTCTTCCTAAGTTTCTTCTCAGATCCTAGGTGTCCAGTATCCACATAAAACTTAATATAGCAAAGATCATCTGAAAAAAATGTATCACATATATGAAGACATCAGTCATTTGCTTATGCTAATACCATCTCTACTGATTTCTTCAAAGCTTATTGACTTCTAAAAACTCTAAAAAAGGGTATGGGGTATGTTCATGGGCAAGATCCTCCCTGCTGCTTCCATCCCATCATGCATTTCTTGTGTCCGTTTCGGTATTAGACCACCTGTATTTGGACATGGCTCCTTCTGTCTAGCCTGAATCTGTCAAGAGTGTTATGTTTTGTGAATGGAAGTATTTTTCCTCAAATGAAGAACAGCCTTAGTTTTTTTTATCCTTTCTTCACTCTTGCTTTGTCCAGCTCTTTTTTAAGAGAATAGAAGACTTCTTCTGGCTAAATTAATACATTAACTCAGAGCTCATCTCCATGCGTTGTTTTCTTTTGAAGGTAGTCATGGGTTTAGCTTAAATTTGTTATTTGTAACTTAAATTAGTTCTCAATATTGGCACTGACCTTTGCAGGGTTAGTTTGAGATGGCTGTAGTTTAGAACACTTCCTTAAACACTTTGCCAGAGAAGAATATAGCTTTAATTAACTGCTTTATTTTTGTTGCTCTTGGTATTAATTGAAAATCTGCTTTATCCTGCAAGTTGTGTCCTGTCCCGCAATATTGTATGGTAGGCAACTGTAAATAGCTAAACTTTGTTTTAAGTTGTACAGAAGTGGTTTAAGCACAATTAAATTTTGGTGTAGCAAATGACTTTCTGAATGCTTAGTACAGAATGCCCATTAAGTTGAGTGTTCAGGTTTAACGGATGTTACAAAGATAAAACAAGTGATTTTTGAGAAAAATCTGGTACTCAGGTGTCGTTAGGGAGCATTCTGGATCAGAATTGACACAAATTTAGAATTGTTTGTTTTTAAGAAAAAATAGAATTCTGCTGAATTCTAAATTTTCTCTAATATCTTCAACTAAATAATACCTTCTGGTGTGTTCAAAGTGTTTAAGCCATGTGACTGAAGTTAAGCATTATACTGATTAAAAAAAAAGTTGAAAATGCTAATTAGGTTATGTCATTACCAAAGAAGATTACAAGTAAATAGCAGAGTAGGTGGGGTATTATTCCAGAACAGTGTTTGAGTGTTATGCACAGAATTGCATTTTCGGTTGGTGGAAAATTATTATTTACTTGGAAGCATGAAGCCTGCATATGTCATCACACTTGTGCAGGCAGAGTAGGTGTGAGCGTGCTCATAAACCTTCAAACTAGGCCTTCTAAACTGCAAGAATATCCCAAAAAGTAATATAATTTAAGTCATTGAAGGACCAGCAGTGGCGTGCTTTATGCATTCAAAAAGCACATCAGTTAGTTGTCTCTGGCCGCAGTAGGGACTTTACTTAAGTTACTTCTCGTTGATTTTGTCTAAGTATGTGGCTGACAGTGCAAAGTATTGAGTTTCCTAATGCTAGAATTCATTAGTAGATACTCAGTTGATCCATTGTGCATTTGCTATTAAATATAGGCATAAATAGCGAATTCAGTTGCTTAGTACTAAGTTAAACTGAATTGACTGAACCTGTTTATAAAATAGTAAGGCATTTGGTAGATTCAATTCTTGAACTGCATATATAGTAAAAGTCCACAAAACATTTTTTTTTCTAGTTTCAGTTTTGGCACTAGATTTTATCCTGGAGTTCTTAAATATTCTTCATCCTGTTCTTTTTCTATTAAGGTTAATGTTGAAGAAGGAAAATGCGGAAGTCGCCATTTGACAAGTTTTATAAATGAGAATTATTTGAAGCTCAGGAATAAGTGAAGCTGAAATTTGAAAAAAAAGAAAGTGAATGCATGCTAATTATCAGACCAGAAGTCCCACTTGTAGAATATTGAGCAATTTGTGTGAAGTGGGGAAGATGAAAGAAGTCAGAATTTGAAACGGAAGAATGAAGAAAAGGAATAAAAATGAAGTTAAGATAAGAAGTAATCTGGAATCTGAAAGCACTACGCTAAGTAATTACTAGTCTGTTTATGTGTCCCTGTATATTTTGCTAAACATGCATGCATTATCTGTTTAATAGCAAAAGTATATGCAGGGTAAAGAAGTGTCTACCAGGGAAAAAAAAAAAAAAAAAAAAACTTCTTAAAAATCTAGGCAGTTCTAATGCCAACTGCCCGGACACATAGATATGAATTTTTACCATTTATTTCACTGGAGCTTGTTTACAGACCTTAGGTAAACGAGAAATTGTGTACAAATTAGGCTTTCAATATCTGCGTGCAGGAATCCCGTTCTGCTTCCAGAAGCGGAAGTGCTCATGGGTCTGGCAAGTCGGGGAGACACACCCCTGCAAGATCTCGATCTAAGGAGGATTCCAGGCGTTCCAGGTCAAAATCTAGATCCAGGTCTGAATCCAGGTGAGTTTCTTTCTTTTACCTCTTCCTCCTCTTCGCAAGTCAGATGATTATGTCCGAGGTGAACTGAAGTCCAAGGTAGCCCAGTTCTGTTTCCAGAGATAACTGGTGATCTGTGGACATGGAATACAAAGGAGCACGTGTGGTTTCAGGATTTGAAAAGATAAACTATCAAGTTGGATCTTTTTGCAGCTTTTTCTAAGCGGTAGTTGGCTACATAGGCTTGTATCTCTACTGATAGAGTTTGGAGGTGGCAAGTCTTAGAATAACGGCTAGTTTCTGAGCATGAAGCATTAGGAACTCTAGATGGTAGTTTTTCTGTGCATTAAAAGAAATCTGTGCATCAGCAGAGTTTCCATTTTAGATCACATTAATGTATAACATTTTCTCGCTGGAAGCAATGATGTTTCTGGAGTAGTTAACGGTATATTCCATGAAAAAGGAGCAGTAGAGATAAATGTGAATTTCAACAGACTTCTGTCTGACCTTTTAAATATATGTTAATTTAATTTGAAAATTAACAGGCTGGAAAGCTTTAAAGATAAGACAGCTTCCCAAGTGCTCAAAAAAAGTTGTGGAGAAAGTAGCTTGCTTATTGTATTTGTTATGTGGCAAGGCAAATGTACACTACGAAAATGTCTTCTGCACTGTATTACCTATCCTTATACTCATCTGCTAAACAAGCTGTGCACAGTGACAGAATCCCTATTAAAACTGCTAACAGACATAACTGAGACATAAAATATGCTGATAGTCTAAGTATAAGACTATGAATGTCACTGCTAGCCACTTTACATTGGCTTTACCAGGTATATCATGCAAGAGGTACATACAGAGAGTGAATAGAGAGGCAACAAAACCTATAAATGGGTGAATGATGATGTTTTCTTATGAGTCTAGATGACTGAGTGCTGACTGTGGAAATGAATTTGTTGATAGTTCCTTTACTCATTTGTAAGTGTTCAGATTACAAAAAGTGGATTTCAGCAGTGGGGTTTCCAGTTCAGCTGTTCACAATATACTTTTTATGTGTACACGCAATGAGTTAGGCTTGCCAAAGCTTGGGGGTCAGGCTGGAAGAAGGATGACAACTGGAAGATGATGTGCTACTAGCTCATGATGGAAAACACTATCAGATACCGTGTTTAGGTCTCCTTGCAAGATCAAAGTGATCAGTTTGAAAGGCTTTTGTGAGAAGGAACATACCTGGGAAATTTTGACAGCAGAGAAATGGGCTTGTTTTTTCTGTTCTTCAGGCACAGTCACAAGTGTCAAATCAGGCACTTGGCAAACCCTTTAGTGCAAGAACAAATATGTCAAATTAAATGAATAAGTACTTGGTAGAGTAATACCGCTTTATAGAGTATGAAATTGGAGTGACCTCTGAAATTGCTAGTAGTGAGAGATTCATAGGACAGCTTGGGCAGGAAAGGTCCAGTCCAAAACCCTGCTCAAGGCAGAGACAGCTCTGGGCTCAGACCATATTCTCAGGGCCTTATCCAGTTGGCTTTTGAAAATCTCAGAGGATGGAGACTGCACACCACCTCTGGGGGACCTTTTAATTTTAAAATACCAAGCAAGTCAGGACCCAGCCTAGCATGTCCTTCTGCACCTTAATCCATAACCCCTAGGGATTCCACACTCTTTAAAGCACTGTGTTTCTCACTTGCAGAATAACCATAATATTGTGTAAGAATGGAATCACAAATTGTATAAAATGCTGGAAGAAGCAAATACAAGATCTAGAATTTACGAGAGACCTGGCAAATGATTTACAAGAAATCACCCTTTAAATAATACCCTGTCAACTGACTTTCTACTTTTTGATGAACAAAAGTAGAAGCTTATGACTACTACGGCTTCCTGAGCATTTAACAGCTGTCTTGAAAATGCCTATGGCTGGAAATACTGGAAGTATATTGCAGAGTTAGTGTGTTCATTAGCAGATCTGCGCAGATTTGTGTCAAGGCACATATTTAGAACCAATGTGCTTACATCTATTTTCAGTGCCGTCACATTTGAATGTGATCACATGCAGGTCATCTAACTCTGGCTCTCACCAGAGAAATAACCTTGTGAGAACTTCTTTATTTCTTCGTAATTTCTGTTGCAAATGTATTTTTGAGTTAACAGCTTTATAAATTAAACTTTGATTTGGGAACAAATTTGTGTCCTGGTGTATTTATCAGTTGGGGTGTGGATATACTTGATTTTAAAATCTGCTTTTATTGAAGTTTTCAGCAGCAGCATAGCAAGCTTGTCATCTTTGGCTGACTCTGTGAAGTCTAAACAATTCTTAACGAAGGAATAGGATTTTCAGCTGTGGTGGGTTTGCAACAAAGAAGATTAATGGCAGTATGACATTTAAGGCAGCAATATAAGCAGTGCCTATTTAAAATAAGCCTTGTTCTCTCACATAATGGATTGCCTGGTTTAGAAGTGTCCAGCTCTTGTTCAGTGCAATAGGTGCATTCTGTTACCTGGAACATTAGTTCTGTGTTTGTCTTCATTTTTTTTTCTATGTCAGTGGCTGAAATGTGGCTGTATGCATGTATTGAACTTCTTTTTATTATTATTTCTGTCTTTCTTTACTGTCTTCCCTGCCTCAGGGAAGTTGTCTCTCTCTCTTTTTTTTTTTAAACTTTCTGTGCCAAGAATAATTTATTCTTTATAAATACATAGTTGGAAGTGTTGTAATGGGACACACTGAAGTAATTTCCCCTGGACGTGTATACATGCTTCAAGTTGAGGAAGACAGGCTCACTTCTGACAAGGTTAAAGACATTTTTTAAAGGAGGCCTGTAATATACAGAGTGTATATCCTGCAGTTTGGCTGTCTGGCGAACTTACCTAGTGATAAACCCTGACTGTGGAAGAAGCTGTTAAATGCTCAGGAGTAAAAACGGGTTCAGGTTAAGAGCTTCATTCATGCCAGCGTAGTGGTGGTGTTACTGTGAAACATGGTTGTGCGATGATGGTAGCTTATGGTCTCAGTCAGTACTTAACTACCTTGGCTTCCACAAGCTAGAGGAAGGAGATTTAAGACACAAACAAGACTCTGAAGATTAACAATTTATGCCTAAGAGCCTTTGAATATTAAACTGTTTATTGCACTTCTTAGCCTTGCAGTGATTTTCTTTGTAGTTTTGTGGAATGCAGATTGTTCAGTGACTGCCATCAGCAGGCCAAGCTCAGGCATAATATTCCAGTTTAAGTGCCTGTCCAGCCTTTCAACTAAGATTGTCTGTGTTGTGAGGGCTGAGGGTTTAGTAGAAAGATTTGAAGTGTTTCAGGACCTCATCTCCGTGGACCTAGTGCTGTCAGAAAACATTTCTGGAACTGTTCTGAGGAGGCCTAGGCTGAAATTAGTGAGCAGTTGCACCTTTGCCTAAATACGCTTGAAGTGTGAACATGTAAACATTCATGAACAGCTAATGTTAAATAACTGTTGAAATACGAGAAGGTAAATAGTCCTAATACTGTGTAATTTCTTCAATCATGTTAAGCTCTGTTTCAGAGGCATTCGCCAGACTTCTGTGCTTGTAATTATGCACTGTGTAAAAATTGTATTTGCTTTTCAGTGTCACTGAAAGCAGCATTATTCAGAGTGCTAGAATAATTGGAAGCGTGCACCTCTGCAATTGTGCATGCTTTGTGTGCAGTCATATTTACTCCTGTTTCTTTTTTCTGTTAAGTCTTTAAAAGAAAACCACCCCAGCCATTTTTACTTAAATCCTACTGTAATTGCTGTGAATATTCTAAGCATATACTGTGTCAAACCAAGATAGCCTTGTTAGAGAAAGTTAAAAGCTATTGGGGAATTAAAAGCTAACTAAAATGGAAGTTGAGGTTCCTGTTCTGCAGTACAAGTGCTCTGAGAGCATCTACAGTAATCTAATTCTAAAGATTTTAGTGCACAGTCCTTGAGAGTAGTGACTAAATTCATTATAGCTGAATCGTGTGGTACTGCAGGTTTTTAGAAAATGGTTATTTGGGCTTTTTGTTTGTGAATATCTGATGTGTTTTTGAAGGGTTAAAGAAAACCAAGCAAACCCAACACTGTACCTTTTTCTTTTTTTTTTTTTCCTCAGATCTAGATCAAGGAGGAGTTCCCGTAGACACTACACAAGATCACGCTCTCGTTCCCGCTCTCATAGGAGATCCAGAAGTAGGTCTTACAGTCGGGATTATCGGCGACGACACAGTCACAGCCATTCACCCATGTCTACTCGCAGACGTCATATTGGAAACAGGGTATGTCTGTTATGGAAGTAGATGACTCATACATAGTCCTGAATACATCTTGAAATCACTCAATCAGTTAATTGGGGTTTTCCAGAAAAACATTCTGCTTCCCACTCAGGTCCATTTAAAAGATATTGTTGAGATTAATTGCCATTTGGCTTTTGATAAACCATGGATCTTCTTAAGTTTGCTTAGGATTGTGGGTTGAGGGTGTCTTGTTTGTTTGTCTGCTTTTTAACAGATGCCTTTAGAAGTGCTAGCAGTGCAGGCTGTTGTCACTATACCTGCTGTAATAAATGAGTGAATGTGTGCAGTGAAGGATGGGGGTAGAATTAGGAGGGGGAAACATTTGTGCTTTTGTTGATTAGAAGGCCTGGAAAACTAACACATTTCATTAAAAGCTGTTTTGATGGTGTCTTTATGAAAGGAGCATGCAAACCAGCTTGCTTTTAGCTGCTTTACAGGCTCAGGTGGCTGACTATGGTGTGGTTCATGTTAAAGCGGGGGGGGGGGAAGTGATAACTAACACAAATGAAGATGTGATGCAGGCCTCTGTGTGTGTATATATCTGTCCACATTCCAACAGTCATCAGCTAGCCTTTGGAGGGAAAACTTTTTACATATAGTACTTATTATGTGCTGTAACTGTAGTTTGTACAGTACCCTGAGAAATGCAAAGTATTTTTATGAAAGGATGCTTGTGTATCTGTAGGCTTGATTGTAATAGTGTCCATTAGCAAGTTAACCCAACCTGAACCTCAGCAGTATCTTTTATCTTTTTGTTGTTGTTTTGGCTTGAAGCTCTGACAGTTACAACTTTGAAATACCTTGTACTGCAAATACAAGCAATTTTATTCTAACACCTATTTATCTGTCCCTTTCTTTAGGCAAATCCTGACCCAAATTGTTGTCTTGGCGTGTTTGGATTGAGTCTGTACACCACAGAAAGAGATCTGAGAGAAGTTTTCTCCAAGTATGGTCCAATTGCTGATGTTTCCATTGTGTATGATCAGCAGTCTCGGCGTTCAAGAGGATTTGCATTTGTGTACTTCGAAAATGTTGAGGATGCTAAGGAAGTAGGTTGCGGTACAGAATGTATGGCATGTTTGCTGTGTTCTCAGTTGCTGTGATGTATACTCTGTAACAGGATATAGCCTGGGGAGACTTGCTGGTTGACCTTTAAAATGCTATAGGAAGCTTTAATTCCTTTTGACTATATGAAATAATCATAATGCAAGCTAGTCCATAGTATCTTCTCTTCCCTGCCTTCCCAGCGCCTAAAAAAATACTTGGCACTTCATAATAAATGTCAGTCTTAGCTCAAAAGATACCTACTGTATACCAGAGGAGAGAGTAGAGAGGCATGAATACTGGTCCCTGTGCAGGCTGTGCTGTTGTGTAATTCACAAAAGCAAACTTCGGGCTAGCCCTAGTGCAGACTATGCCAACAAGAAAACAAAATAGAAACACAGGCTGTCTTGTTTTGATTATGAGAGCTCCTTCCTAACTCCGCATGTGATCTTATATTTAATAATAGGCATGTTCAGAGTGGCCCAGACAGCCATTTCAGAGTTCTGTAGGAGCACTAACATGCATTCTGCTGACTTACAGTGCTTCAGTCTGAAAGGGGAGGGGGGGGACTCTTTTCAGAAAATAAAAGGCCGGGCAAATGTACAGTGACTTCCTGGTCCCTGCAAATGTCCATAGGAAGCCCTAAGGGATTCAGTAAATTGAAGCAGTGTCAATACTGTAACAAATTGAGATTTGTGCTTACAAGGGCTACAGAACAAACAGGGAATTCTATACTTGCCAGGTATAGAATTCTATACTCAGGGCAGCCTTTGGAGAGCAGTGTGCTTATGGGCTGTAACTAGGCTTATACTCTGCATAAATTCCAGTACTTAGTCTCTAGTGTCGTCTTTTCCAAATTTGGCATGAAGACTTCCATGTTAGGTTGGAGCTTTGGATATGGGTCCCGCTACTTGGCAGAAAAAAACAATGGTTTTAGTTTTTTTACTTCACATTTACTTACGATTCAGATATTACTATATTCAAGGTTATGGTAGGTTTTCAGAATGTGCTGGAGGAAGAAAAACTTAACGGTGCTGTTCTGTTAACTTCTAAATGCATTGCTTCATGTTGCATGTTAGAGCAGTTGTGTCTCCCTACATAAGCATGCTCAAAGGTTCCTCTTTATCATGTTAGAAATAAGGGTACTGAAACAATTGTTAAATTATGTTCTGTTTAGGCTTTTTATGCAGTATTAGTCACATTTTAAGTGGTTACTGAAGCTTATATCCAGCTGGCCTAGAACGTCTTAGAGTTTAGGTACAGTGTTACGTATAAAGCATAAGACAAACTTGGACGTGCGTCCTAACTGAGCTATTTTAGGACTTCTCTTAATACTTGAAGCACTGGTTAGAAACTTGTGTTGGTAATAAAGTTCATACTTACAGCTAATTGTATTTTATCACCCTGCTTAGGCAAAGGAACGTGCCAATGGAATGGAGCTGGATGGAAGAAGGATCCGGGTAGACTTCTCCATAACAAAAAGACCTCACACACCTACCCCTGGAATCTATATGGGAAGACCCACTTAGTAAGTTACCTGTGTGGGGTTTTTTTCCAAACCAGTACAGGATAGGATTAATTGTCTTGTGTTTTGTTAAAAACTGTTCTGTGTCCCCTCTAAGAGACCTGATTCTGTGTGTTTTTCCTAGTTTATCAGGCTTTTGCATTAATGCACTGTTCTGAAAGCTGTTCCCTTGCTTCTGACTTGTGTGCTGTACAGTATGTGGATGTTTCAGTACTAGAAACTAAAATACAAAAATCAGTGTTGATGCCTAATTAAATTTTTTTTTTGAAGTCTCCTTAACAAGAACTATGCTAATGCTGATGTTATCTGGCAAAGCTTCTGAAAACTAAAAAACTTAACTGATTAAAATTCTGAAGAGCCTTCTTTAAAAAAAAAAAAAGACTGCATGTGGACAGCCATCAGTAGTAATGTGTATCTTTCCAGCTCTTTAGATAGGAGCGGTTAATTTATGTAGCACTTGTGACTGATCTAGGGTCAGCCTGGATTACAGTGAGCAGAAACCTGTGTTCCTTAGTTATGCAGCCCAGACATGAGCTATCTAAACATTTAAATAAGTCTTCAAATTTTTTTGACAATTTCTAAATTATTTTAAGTTGTTGTCCTATGCACCTTCAAATAGTAATGTCTTCTGCAAGCTCAAGTTTTCAAGAGTGAACTAACAAATACTAGTTGAGCAGCTGTGTGGCGCAGTTTGCCCCATCCGCAGAGTACACTGGACTTAAAGTTGCCGAGAATGTAAATTGTTTTCCCAAGTAATTTCCCAATTGTTTTCCAAGACTTTCAGCTTATGGTACTGGTGGTTATGTACTTGATGTTGTGTTGAGACTGCAGGTTATGTTTTTTAGGGGTAAAGTTCTTCCAAAAGGAGCTTTCTGAGAGTTAAAAGTGAATGAAGAGTTGTCACAGAATGGAATTTCTCATGTGCCTGTGATATCAAAAGGTTAAGAGGTTTCAGACCAAGTAGAAAAGTAGCAGTCTTAAAGTTCAAGAGTTTTAAAAAGCAATTATTTCAGTAGTTCTGTTCCCATCTGCACTGATAGGAAAGCAGGAGTGCTCACAATCATTTCAGCTGTGAGGTGTGAAGTAGTAATATAACCCAGTTAAAATGGTGTATACTTGACTGACTGTACACCTACCGAAAAGCACTGCAAACAATATTAATGTTTTATATTTTATGAAATGTAATTCTCTTTCACTACTTGTAGTGGCAGCTCACGACGACGAGATTACTATGACAGAGGGTATGATAGAGGGTATGATGATCGTGACTATTACAGCAGATCGTACAGGTGAGGCAATGTTTGTAATATTCAACTGCTTTTTAAACTATGCTTTCTCAGCTGCGTTTCTACCTACATAAGTTAAGCAGTTCGTCCTACATAGACGTGCCAAAATACGTTTGCACTTGCTGTCATTCTGGAATCTTACTATGAAATCTTTATCAAAATGACTGCTCAGTACAAATTGGATTGGTCAGATTGAGAAATACTTTGTGATGTTTAACCTGTGGCATGAGTTAATCCATGATGTTTTTTAATCTGCATTAAGTTTTGAAAAAGTGTGTTCTCTGAACTCTCATTTTAAAAGAATCTTTTGCTGGTTCATCTGTTAGCGTTGAAATGGTGGGAATACAGGTGCAGATCTAATATTTGAGTTGGTATTATAGTGCCAGTTTACATTTGAGTATAATGTAGTAGACAAAAAGTGGTAAGTTTCAGTGGTTGCCAGTATCCCCTACTAATAATTACAGCACCTCAAACGCTGCCAAAAATAAAGAATCAGGGATTGGAACATTACCTGTTCTGTGTTAGACATTTGCCTTTAAAAGCCTTTTTTTAACATACTCTGTCAGGTTGGATGTGTGTGTTTCACTTGAAGGACTCACACCTCTTATTTCTGTCTGTCTTCAGTCTAAACTTCTGCGTTCAACAGCATAGTAGTTAGCTGAAAGAGGTGAATATTCAGGTGGCAATATACATTTTCAGAGGGCTAGTGAAGTTGATACAAAATCTGTTGAAAACATGTCTGGTATGCAATTGGTTTTAGTGATAGAGCAAGTTTGTCTTCTGCATTTTTCCATTAAGACTGCCAACAAGACTTGTTCCCTGTGAAATCCTTACAATTTCTGGGACACTGTTAAGTTGGGCACAAGATGAGAGTCGTCTTTTCTGTCTGCAATTACCAAACGTTGCTGTAGTTGCAGAATTCTATAGTAGTACTTCCTAAGTGGTTTGCAAAGCTTAACTGCATCAGCGATGAGTGGATCTATGATTGTTCCCTGATGGCAACCATGTATTCATGAAAATACATGAATTCAAATTGCATTATCACATTATAGCTCAAAGAGAAAGGAAATAATAAATGCTGTGATCTTAGCTTTCAGTGTACTCTTCTGTTGATTTCTAGGTGTAGAATAAAATGTCATCTCTATACTTCTATTGATAGCTGTATAGTCATTGTCAGTGACTGAGGGCAGCTGTCTCCTCCTTCCCCTCCTACTACTTTCAGCCACTGTTTTTCCTTCCCGAGCTGTTGGCATTCCTTCCAATCTGTTTCTCCCCTCCCTGCCTTGTTGTTGTCACTTAAATCGGGTGCCTTGCTTCTACAGTGCTTGAATGCTCCTGTGGACAGGGAGGGGATCAAGGTGCTCTACAGCATCACAGTGAACCCAAGACAGAAGTGTTCTGCTTACATTTCTGGGAAGCAGTCATTAGGGTATTTCTCTGCCTCTAACAATCCCTTTTCTTGAAACATCAGTGGCTTGAACCCTTTGGAGAGCTGTAGCAGCTGAAATCTGAAGTTGATACTGGGCATACAAGAACCAATCTTGTATGGGCTTCATCTTGCCAGCACTTCTATGTAGGCTTTCATAGGAGGTAGATGTGACCCAAAAGCGGTTCTTTGACCAAACTTCCAGTTTGTTTCAGAGCACAAGGTAGAAAAACTTGCTTGGGATGGTTAACATAGCCTCATCTCATTTAATGAACTAAAAATAATGAACTGAAGTCTAGCAGGTAAATTAACTGAAGCATCTCGCCAAAGTGTTGGGGAACAGAAAAGACTTGCAATGTAGCCTACTAAGCAGTCTGCTAAGTGGTGCTTCTAGCTTGCTTCTCCCACCTTCCATTTTTTTTATGGGGTTCTGATGTAAGCCTACCAAAATGGCAAAGGCATATAAGGACCAGCAAAAGATGTGGGGCTATGCAGTGTTTGGTAGAGTTTTACACTATCAGTATTTCTTCTTGCACTTCATAGTACAAATTTCCTTTTTGTTCATAAAGGGTCAGTCAGGGTTTACTGGTTGTCCTTGAAATCTGTTGTTTGTTGTTTGCATGTTCTTAAAATGTAATCTATTCTTTGTTTAGATTATGGCATGACCCTAAGTCTTCAGTGCTTGCAGTGTTACCTTTTTCATTCCTGATAGTGAACAGCAGCTCAGATGTTTGTAAACTGTTATTAGAAGTTGTAATTACATCAGTTCTGGGTGCATGCTAGTGAGAATAGTTGCAGACTGTGATAGTGACTCTACATAAAGAAGAGTACATGCATTAGATGAGGAAGAGCAGACTAGTGAGAAGTGATGTGAGAAGATGGACTACATAGTGTGTACTAGTCTGAATGTAGCGTATCAGAATTCATGGCTGTGCTTTGGCCCAGTTCTTCGAGGCAGTCTTCCTACATGCTCTCCCATCCTGTGTCTGTTGTGAACTAGGGCTTTGGGGTGGAGATACTCAGAATGTGGACAATTCCAGCAAGGGGTGATTTCCATATCCTATCTTAAACAAACAAAAAAACCCACAACAACAAAAACCCCACTCCAGTGTTTTAAAGCTCACTGCAGAACCTTTATAATGTCTTTTCATAGCAGATACTGGAAGGGTGAAAGTAAGCCACAAATGGTTTGTGTGTGGCTACTTTAAAAATACCATGGTCTGCCCAGGTTAGATACCTACTTTCTTACTTGCAGATATTGGTCATTTGAGGGAGAGAAGAATAGTGTTGTGTATGTCATGAGTACTTCCTTGAGGAAGGGAAAGTTAAAGTTGTTAAAGATGCGGTAGAGCATTGCATACTAGTTAGTGCTCCACCCTAGAAAATCAATTGGTAACAATTACTTTGCATTTTTCCCCTTCCTTGCCCTCTGCACAGTGAAGTCTTAAGGGAAATACAATTTCAGATGGGAATTGTCATGTTAAAACTTTAATTTCTCCTCATTGCTGTGGGATGCTGAATCTTGTCTGGAAAAGTCTCTGTAAAGTGAAGAATAACCTTAAAAAACCCCAACTTGCACACTGGCTAGCTAGCAAGTGGAGACGACTTTAAAAAAAAAAAAAAAAAAATTAAAAAAGGAGACCTGCTGATTCAAAGTGTGGTGTTGTGTTTTGGGGGTTCTTTGTCCTTCATATGATTTACAGCCTTTTTGAGCTGCTGTGAGACATCTGTGGCAGTGACTGTTCCATAATCCAAACTTGATTTAGCCTCCTCTTGGTAATGCTTTGCTGTATCTAAATCTGTGGAGGTACCAGCCCAACCACTTAATATTGTTAAATACTATAATGTATTGTTTAAGTTCTAGGCAGCTTCTATGTAAGGAGAAGTTGTACCACAGTTCTTAAATGCCCGTGTTTAAACATGATGGTGAGGTGTTAAAACGTAAGGGCGTGGTGGTTTTTTTCCTCTGCCTCCACCTTGGAATCAACTTTTTTCCTCAGGACAGTGAGTTGATCTTGCTACTTTAAAAAAATAAGTAAAATTGCTTGTGTTGAGTAGGTAAGTATCTGAGAATAGAAAGGGTCTTAGAAGCGAAGGCTATGTACCGATCTTAAATTGCCGCTCGTTGGAGAGTATGACATCGTAAAATACAATATTGGTCAGCCTGGAACATGAGTCCTTTTTAACTGTTGCTTGACACCACGTTTAGCCAGATCATTCCAGGAACACATAAAAATGAATATAGTGAAGTAATTTAGCATTATCCAGCATAGGAACCAATGTTTTCTTGTCTTAACGTCATTTTCTTATGCTTGATGATGCTTTTTGCTTGTACAGTGAACTTTTTGTTTATTTTTAAAATTTTCAAAAGTCATTCTGCTTTCGTATTCACAGAGGAGGTGGCGGTGGTGGAGGAGGAGGATGGAGAGCTGTTCAAGACAGGGATCAGTTCTACAGGTATGACAGGAAAGCTTTTGGTGTCTGGTCAACAGTGGAAACATTCTTATACATGGTATTTTTTTTAGTATTCTATGAATCAAGTCTAGGAGATCTTTAAACACATTAACAGAAACCGGGTGGATGCTGAGTACTTGCAGTTCTTCAGTGAGCAGTGCAATTCATTTCAAAGGTTCCCTCATTGCTGTGTGAAGGGGTGAGGTTAGTATAGGGACAGGTTAGTGCAGCTTTGCACAGGAAAAACTTGTGATTTATGCCAAGAAGTTAATGTCCTGAATGTTTGGGGATTTTTTTTATTTATTTTTTTTTTTTAATTAGGAGATTAGTGGAACTAGGTAAGGAAACGCAAAACTTGGGAGTGCCTGGTTTGGGGATGGGGTTGGTGGTAGCAGTGACTGCTCTTCAAATAACTCTTCATCTTGAAACAAATAATTTAGATTAAAAGTTAAGGTGTGATTTGGCTTACACTGCTTGTTTGGGATGCTCTTGGCTTGAAACTCTCAAACCGCACGTAGTCAAATTGTGAATGCGAGAGAGCTTATATTTCTTTTATTAGTCCAAAGCAGTGTTACTCTGACCCGGTAATAAAGAGTATTAAGGAAACTCACATCTTTGCTTTGTAACCCAGTAGAAATGTTGATCAGCTCTTTATGTGCTCGTTAGCTTTCCCAAGTACACTCTTGGTACCAGGATCAGGTTAGAGGTATACACATAAAGCTGCTGCCACTCATCTGCCACAGGCTTTAACGAAGGGATTGTTTCTGTTGCCCTCTTTCACAGGAGGAGATCACCATCCCCATATTACAGCCGAGGGGGCTACAGATCTCGATCCAGATCTCGATCCTATTCACCTCGTAAGTAGTCTTAGAGTTCGCATATCGAAAGCAAATTTCCACTTTGCCTGAACTTCTTTTGAGGTTTTGCATCCATAAAGACTATTCAACTACATTGTGGTTTTTGTGTTGGTTTTTTTTTTTTTTTTCTGCACCACAATTCCCTTTAATGTTTCATTGAGCAACTGGCAACCTTGAGGACAGCGCAAATCTTTAGTTTACAAAAAAATAAACTAGGTAATACAGCTTGTTAAAAAGGCTGAGGTACCATTTCTTTCTCTGAAACCCTGTTAAAACAGGATTTTGTAGTATGCTGACAGGTTGGTTACCTCTAGGACAGCAAGGCTGAATTCCCAAGTCTTGCACGTTCTAACACTGAAACTAAATTTCCTGACATAACTTGTTAAAGAGGAGGTTAACTTCATCTGAGGTCCAAATAGTGCTTTTTTCTGAATTGCTTATTTGCATGGAAGATAAAGCTGCATTTTGATGGCAGAAATTTAATAAAACACAATAGCATTCCTAGCATATTCCCTTTGTAACGGATACAGAGTGAATGAATGGGTTGTGTTCTCATGCTTACCCTTTGCATCCAAATGAAAACAAGTGTAACTGCTTTTACTGATAGGTACGGAAGCACAGTGACAGTGTGAATTCTCATTGTGCACTGAAACATCAGCCCTGGGCATGTGACGGGAGTTGGGGGTTTTCTACACAAAGGAACTTACTGGCAGAACTGTACTGACTGCTGGACTTTGTCATAGACAAATCATAAGGCTCTTGAATTCGATGCAGATTTGAGGAGTGGCAGTGAATTTAGAAATCTTAAAAAAAAATCTGTCAATCCTTGGAAGTCTAATAGTGTATATATTTTGTTTTTTCTTTCAGGTCGCTATTAAAGCATGACATGTAGAGGAATTTCTAGCTACAGCCTTTGAGTTGAAATTGCAAGTTTGTGGACAATATTTTTATTGTCTCTTCTGTTTAAACAAGTCAACAGTGCCTAGTGAATAGGTGACTTTTACACCTTTTATGAAGACTACTTCTGTGATGTTACATGCTGTTTCATTCTGCATATTTGTGTAGTTTGGTGCTTTGTTTCAAGTTGTGTTTTGAAAGGAGTATGTTTTGCATGTATTTTTTTAGTCTCAATTTTGACTCCTGAAAGGTTTCTATTGTAAAGATGAACTGTTCAGTTAGTTTTTTCTACTGATTCCAAGGTATTCTGAAGATCAAAACCTGTGTACAATGCTTTCAAAAAGTGAAAAATAAAATAAAAAGAAGTTTGTTTTTTCTTTTCCTACTTACTTTTGCCAAGTATAAGTTACGGGTTGAAAAGAGACAACAATGCTTATGCTATGTATTCCGGAATAATGTTTAAAGCCCAGAAGTAAAATTCACCCTAATTTTGCATTGCTGCATAGTCGTTCTCTAAATGCAATGCCTTGAGGTATGTAAACCCGGTGTGGAGAGAAGTCTGTGTGCAAATTGTACAGCAGCAGGAGCAAGAAACATCATTTGGCAGCACTGTACGCGTGGAGCAAGACTTGTAATAAGCTCCTGGTAATGCTGTTGAGCTTCGAGGTGGGTGAGCTGTTAGCGGATTATCACCTGTAACATGTAGACCTTTGCATAAGGAGAGGGCTTCAGTGGAAGTAGGTAACCATACACTTAGAAGGCAACGAAAGAACACTTAGATTACTTCGCTTTTTCTTATTTCTTCACTGATAATTGTCCTTCTTTTAAAGAGTACATCTTTATCTGCATATGTGGCTAAAATGCAATATAACTCTCAAATGATGCTTTCCTACCAGTATAGTACCATTTTGCCTTCTCGAATTCAGGAACTTCATACACTTAGAGGAAAACTCTGTGCAAGATTTGGAAGTACTTTTGTCAGACCAGAACTTCCCTCAGCCTCGTATCGTGGCTCCAGTGGTGACCAAGCATGGAGGACTAGAAAATGGGGCAAGAGCAGTGAGATGCTAGGCTATATCTGCCGCTGTTCTCTCAGCTTTTTGAACACATGTTCCTCTACTTTTTTTCCTGCATAGCAATTTCCACACTTTTTTCATGGACTAAGAGCAGTTTCAGGACCCTGTGGACCTGCAGCCTCCTGACCTTTATTTGATGATTTTTCCCCTGCTCCTGTATGGGAATGGGACAGACTGCTGCTCTCCATCCGTTCCTGTGCCATTTCTAACCAGTGGCCTCCGTCATCTCTTGTCTTACTGTGGTTTTCAGGTCTAGTTAGATCTTTGTGTGGAAGTCTTCAGTAACTTCGTCTGTTTTTTGGAGGGGGGTGAAAGGAAGGACCAGGGTGGCACACAGTGTTCCACAGGTTGAGGAACCCCTGGGTTTATATAGCAATGTAATGTTGATTTCTTTCTGTGCACCATCTCGCACTTACCCTGGTTTGGTTCGGTTGAGTACTACTGAGCTGAAGGTTTTCATGCAGCGACTTCTGAGGGCTTGCGCTGGAGGAGGAATGCTCGGGAGCCTGCCTCTGCAGTCTTCCTTTCTTTACAGGATTTAAAACGTGGCTGGATGAGCTGCTGTGCTGGCACTCGGCTATAAAGAGAAGTGCCACCAAAGCCATCGCAGGTTGGGATTTAAGTGGTAAGCCTGTTCTACCCCCACATTTTTATTCAGTGGGAACTGTTGTTCATAGTGCTGTAAACCAGAGGTAATCCCAGGGCGAGTGCTCTCTGAGCTACATCCCGTTTCTTTTAGGAGCAGCCAGTCACTTGCTGTCCCATGAAGGATAAATGCACTTAAGGGCTTTCATTAAGAGCTGCTCAAGTCTATGTGTCATTCTTAAAATCGGCACTGAATCACTCATTTTGACTTTTGGCTATTAAGTTATCTATTGGATTTAAAAGATCTTGAGCAAACACTACGCAGTGTATCTGTCATCCTGCACAGTAAATCTATGCAGTTAGATCTATGATCTAATTATTTTTTAATCTTGCGTTGGAGGAGATATATTAGGCTTTCCACATTGGTTTACGGTGAGAACGTTTTTTGTGTAGGAATAGTGGTATACTCATTTCTGGACTGAAAAAATTGTGTTCTCCACTGATGTAGGGAAGAAAATGCTTTCCCCTTTTGCTCTCGGCAGCAGTTTGGCAAATTATGCGCAATCGCATGAAGCAAGAGACTGAAGAAATAAGCCCTACCTGCTGCAGCTGCCTGGAGAGGAAGAAGGCTACCAGCAGTACGCCAGGCGTCTTAGGAAGATTTTTGCAAATACATGATTTTTTTTTTTTTAAATCTGTATCTGTTTTTACTGTCTGGATGTAAGACTGGGCAACAGGATTTCAGCAGTAATTATTTTTAACTGTATCAGCAGTAACATCCCATCCCTAACCAAGTGGTACTCCCTTTTAAACATCCCGTGGGGGGTGTAGCACTGCTCCTGTGTCGAGAGCATCCCAAATCCCTGCGCCGGGTCCCTGCCCGCTGTGAGCGTTTCGGGGCGGCGGTTCGCCTTACGGACGCGTGCAGGAGCGTTCCTGGGAAGGTGGAGTCCCACCTGCCGGAGCCGACTTTCCTCCTTTGCAGAGCGGGCAGTCTCTTCGTTCTTTTGATTGTGTTTTCTTAGCCATGGTCTTGCGCTTCCTTTGAATCACTCAGCAGGGGCTGACAAACGCGGAGTCAAGAACATGTGTCCTTTGGTAAGCGTCTTTATGTTTTAGTAAAATGAGGATTTCGCAACTTGTGGTGCAGTTCCTGGCAGCTGAGTTAATCCGATGGCTTGTAGCTGCCAGAAGAGCATCCTCCCACCCCTTTCCCGCACGGTGATACCTGGTACTTCTGGTAAGGCTCAGATCCACTGCGGAGCCGCGCTCTGGTCCGGCTGAACGCGAGCTTTTCCCCTGCAGAGGGTACGGAAGGAAACGGGGATGTTGTGTCGGTGAGACGTGGTGTGTTGAGGTGCACCCTAAAATCCATTTCAAAGCTGTATCCAGAGTTTGGGAAAGCATCGGCTGCTGTAGCCTTGCAGTGGGGAGAGCCTTTTGTCTGGGTGTTTCCTGCTGCTGAATCACTCCAGCTGCTTGTGAGTCCAGAAAGAGCCCCTGGTCAGATGCTCCCCGGCGTGTGTAATGTTGCCCTGTTATGCGGGAATGACGGATTGCTGTGGTATGTGATGCGCTTCGAAACCGCGGCTGAATCACTGCTGGATGTCCTGATGCTCTGCCAGCGTGTAACGCAGAAATTCATCGCAGGGAAGGGGGAAGCGTACCCTGCGCTTCAGCAGAAATCCCACCGGCGGTAGGGAAGCATCCTCTGCTGCGGCAGCTGTGAAAGCAACATCTGCTGGGGTGGATGTGAAATGCTGTGACCTTTGCTGACCCACTTTCCTGTCGAGAGTAGGACAAATAAAAAACTTTAAAAGCACGTGGGGAAAAAGGAAACCGGGCAATGTTTGTGCTGTTGCACCGCTGGTCTCTCCTTGCTGTGTGCAGGTGGAGTTTCCTTCGGGTCAGTTTGCGCCTTTCCCTGCAAGAGAGATGCTCCGGTCCCTGCACAGCCCCGCAGCATCTCCCTGGGCACGAGGAGGGTCCCCGTGGCAGGCCGCATAGCTGGATGGAGCTGCTGAGCATCGGCATGCAAGGGTTGATAGCGTCAAGGGTAGTTGTGGTTTTAGTTATATTCAGAAATACATTATTAAAATCAACTCGTAAAGTGGCTTACAAGCACAAATTAACTTGAAACTGGGTCTTAAGAGCATCTGGGTCCAGCACAGCACTGACCACAGGGAAAGGAGACCGAAGGGAGAGCACAGGGCTGTGACTCTCCTGGCACCCCTTGCACAAGCAATGCAGCAGCTTTCAGCTAGTTCCTGAAAATCATATTTTCTGTAGTAACTCCTTAATTTGAGTTCAAGTAATTTATTGTTCACATTTCAGTTCCAGCAAATCAATCACATGAAAGGCAGGTACTCCCGCCCCAACAGAGCTGCTTTCAGAACTAAGAGAAGCTGACCCTTTCTTTTTCCTGCTTCAGTATGATGGGTATGGCTCCTTAGGGCTTTCTTGGGTGTCCATCTCTGGCACCTGGCCTTTGCTCGATCACCTTGGTCCTAGACATCCATACCTTCAAGACCTTAGGAGAGTCAGCAAGACTTTTAGCCTGTTGGGAAGGAGCTATTGGTACATCACTACTGACAGTCTCTGTCTACCATTCCCATCGTTAAAAACTTAAGAGTTATGTCTCAGTCATGCTCAGCCCCTGGGCAGGTGTAATTAACAGAGACACAGTTATTAATTCAATTACCCAGCCGTGAGAGTTGCCTTGCACCTCGGCATGCCCAAGTGTTAAGGGCTGATGACCTGAAAGCTTCCAAAATTCTGTTAGTAGATTTTCATTCGTGGCTTCAAAAATACAGAAGCGTTTTTCAACCAAATTCTGAATTATTTTCTCAACTATGCTGTTCACGACGGATAATCTCACCCTACTGAGGTGGACTGCCTTAGCACTCAGCACTGCTGACTGCAGCCAGTTCCGTGATGCTCTTCCCTCGTCTCTGCAGCAGCTGCTCAGTTTTCTTGCTAGGAGCTTTGTATAAAGCCAAAGGATACTTTTAAGAAAGTTCATCAGCACTATACTAGAGGTAAATTTGGGGTTAACTCCAGTCTTGCGGTGCCTCATCCCTGGCACATGGCAATGGAGGACAGGCAGGAGCCACTCCACCAGTGCACACCGATCCCTCTTGCAGCGCGTCGTGGCACACGAAATCACTTCTGTAACTTGGTCAGAAGGAAAAAAAATACGTCCTTTTGCAAAGGAAACAAATTTAATTTGTAGTTAATGTGTAGGAGAGGGTCTATGTGGGGCTTTTTTTTTTTCTTTTTTTTTTTTTTTGGTACTGCCTCTCCAGCAGTCTCGCCCGCAGCCAGAGGGTGACCCTGCACAATGATGAGCAGCTGCATCCCATCTTGCTGCCGAAACTGAGCTGGGACAGGCAGGGATGGGGCAAAGCTCTGCTGAAATTTCTCCTGCATGACTAAAAATATCCTTAAGGATTCAGGGAAAATGGGTGCATCAGAGAGACGAGGCAGGTTTCTCCTGAGCGGGGTAGCTGGGCTTTATCTGCCGGATTAACTTGGGGAGCACGGTGAGTGGGTGGTCCAGCCAATTTTCCTCCCATTGCACAGCCCATTTATCCACCCCTGGGGCGCGCACCCGCAGCTATAACCCTGCCATGTTTGGCTGCAAAGAGCAGCATGTGATTTTCTTGTCTGCTGGCAGAAAAGCCATGCTCTTTGCCTGTCTGGGTTTG